GTTTGAGGAAGGATTATGGCACATGTGGGGGTTCCCTTTGTGCACTTTATGCTCCATAATTGTCTGAATGCAAAAACAACCGTAGCTCTCTTTCCAGTGTTTGCATTTTCCTTTAGTTCCAACCATGAATAGCAAAAACATAGAAACATCCTGGAAAATCAGGGACCCAAGAAGCACTGCAGACTTTGAAAACATATTGGAAATATGCTTTTCCATCTAATGGAAAGCAACATAAGGCTTTTCAGAGTGTTTAAGGAAGGAACAAAGATAAAGAACCAAGTTTAGTTCCTAGAGGGATTTCCATTCCCATTCCCACCCCCCAACCCCCATTTAGCTAATTGGTTCTCAAATGCATAGGCACTTTAGAATCTCTTGGGGAGCTTTAAAAATATCATTCCCTGTGCCCCATCCCAGATATATTGATACAATTGGCCTGGGCTGGGGCCTAGGCCGCATTGTCATTTTTTTTTAAGATTTTATTTATTTATTTATGACAAACACACACACACACACACACACACACAGAGAGAGAGAGAGGCAGAGACAAGAGACACAGGCAGAGGGAGAAGCAGACTCCACACAGGGAGCCCGATGTGGGACTCGATCCGGGACTCCAGGACCATGCCCTGGGTCGAAGGCAGGCACCAAACCGCTGAGCCATCCAGGCAGGGATCCCCTAGGCCGCATTGTCTTAAACAAAAAAATTTTCCCAGGTGGTTCCAATATGCATCTAGCATTAAAATCAATTGTTCTTTAAGCCTTTTAAGTCTTCTTTTCCTCACAGGGTCTTGTGCAACTTATGACAGACTGCCTCTACCATCTAGAATAAAACTCTATGGCTCAAGGAAATTGCAACTCGTATTTATGACCATATTCTCATGAGGTAGGGAAGTGAAAGGGAGGACTAAAGGGATTTCAGGTTAAATCTGAAAGCTGGGTCATTTCCTTCATATAGAGGCAAAGTGATATTATTAGTTTTCCAGCTATATTAGGAGTTCTAAGGAGGCACAACTCAAGCTAATATGCAGTCTAGACTGTGGTTCCAACCTTTTCTCAATCATTCTTATGAGAATGGGCCATACAATATCCCACAGGGAAGTATCAAGAATGTTGCCTCAGAGAATATACCTATTTTTCTCTGTTGAATGGCTCACCAATGAAAACCATTGAATTACTTTTAGTACACCCTAAAGAATCCTGTCTTATGGTAGTGACCTTAAAAACATCCTATTTATTATTTGTGTTAGACAGCCTTAAAGATGGCCTGCAATGATCCCTGCTTTTTGGTATTTATGCCTTTGTGTAATTCCCTTACCTTGTATAGGCAGAAGTAATGGGATATCACTTTCAAGATTAGGTTATAAAATATTGTGCCTTTGTGTAATTCCCTTACCTTGTATAGGCAGAAGTAATGGGATATCACTTTCAAGATTAGGTTATAAAATATTGTGGCTTCCATTTTGGGCATTCTCTCTGATTCCTTGCTCCGTGAGAAACAAACTGCAATGTTTTAAGTAGTGCTATGGAAAGTTTTCATGTGGTAAGAAAGTGATGTTTTGAGCCAACAACCAGTGAGGACCTAAGGTGGATTCCTTTCTAAGTTGAGCATTGAAATAATAGATGTCCACAGCCCTAGCCAGCACCTTGTTTGTAGCCATAGGAGAGATTCTAACTAGTGACAACTAGCTAAACCATGTCCAGGTTCCTGACCTCATAAACCATAAGCTAATAAATATTTGCTGTTTTAAAACCAAACTTTATATAAAGTTTTGGTTTTCTTTTTTTTTAAGATTTTATTTATTTATTCATGAGAGACAGAGAGAGAGAGGCAGAGACTCAGGCAGAGGGAGAAGCAGGCTCCATACAGGGAGCCCGATGTGGGACTTGATCCCAAGACTCTGGGATCATGCCCTGAGCTGAAGGCAGATGTCCAATGGCTGAGCCACCCAGGCATCCCAGTTTTGGTTTTCTTTATTTTTTTAATTTTTTAATAATAAATTTATTTTTTATTGGTGTTCAATTTGCCAACATACAGAATAACACCCAGTGCTCATCCCATCAAGTGCCCCCCTCAGTGCCCACCAACAAGTCACTCTCACCCCCCGCCCTCCTCCCCTTCCACCACCCCTAGTTCGTTTCCCAGAGTTAGGAGTCTTCCATGTTCTGTCTCCCTTTCTGATATTTCCTACCCATTTCTTCTCCCTTCCCCTCTATTCCCTTTCACTATTATTTATATTCCCCAAATGAATGAGACCATATAATGCTTATCCTTGCCATGTGTCATCTGTGTGTAAAGTTGGATAATGAAAGGTACAGGATCTCTTGTGTCATTCATGCCCAAGTATATGGCAGTAGGATAGTGGTGTGAATGAAGCTGCATGATAAACTTTGTACATCTTTCTGATGTATCACTTTTGCTTTTTGCTGTGAATTTTATATTAGAACAAACAAATGTATTATAGAATAAAATGCAAAAATCACATTAGTTTTAAGAGAAAAAAGATTTTCAAGATATTTTATGTGCCACCATTGTAATATTCCTTAGCCTCTCATTCTCTACTTCTACTATTATTGTTCTTTCAGTGGAGAATTTTGAGAGATACTGATTTAGTGCATTTGTGGTTATAGAATTACTTTTACTACAGCTGCGGTGTCTTATAGTCAATCTGTATGTTCTTTGCAACTCTAGAGTACCAGAGGAGCAAACTCTAAGACATAGAAACTAATAATTTAGCTCCAGCATCCTTTCTCCTTTACAATTAGATTGATTTATAGCCAATTCAAAGACTGATTTATACTATGGCTTTTTTATATAAAAATATTTTAGTTCACTAATTGAATTGAAAATGTCTTTTTATTACTTCTTTTTTTAACATTTCATATTCTTTCACTTAATTTTTGCCTTCCTTCTTGTTGGAAACCTATACATTTAACTAATTTTCTCTTTCAAAAAACATTTTAGAAAAGGTTACTCTGTTTATATGGATATTTGCTTACTGTTCCTCATTTGTAAATAAAGGAGCACATGAAAGAGTAGAACAGGAAACAGGATTTGAAATTGCACTGTTTCTTTCCTCCTTTTGAGTCAAATCATCACATTATGGACTACTTATTGTGTATGAAGTGAACTGCCAAAATGTAAGTTGTCTTTGCATGCAAACAAAAAGATCATATCTCAATGGAAAAAAAAAAATATATATATATATAAAGAGAGAGAGCACGGTTTGGGAAGGGTGCAGAGGGAGAGAATCTTAAGCAGGCTCCGCACCCAGCATGGGGTCTGACGTGGGGCTCCATCTCCAACCCTGAGATCATGGCCCGAGTCCAAATCAAAAGTCAGATACTTAACCAACTGAGACACCCGGGTGCCTCTCAATAGAAATTTTTTAAAGAAGGAGATTATTAGCTAATAATCCTAATAATCTAAGGGTAGGAAGTGCATGCTAAGTGATCTAGACTTTTTTGACATCTCTGTACCTAACCAGCTACTTTGGTTGTATCACAATCTCAGTTTCCTGGTCTACAGATAAATACAAGGGACTAAGGCCCCTTCAGTATTAAGATTCTAGAATTCTAAATGTATGTAACTAGTACAGATTTTATTTTCTAAAATTTGCATGATACGTTTTTTAAAAGGGGGAGGATAAACAATGAGTTCAAAGTGTTTCTAGATACACTACTAGATTTAATTTCCTGCTAAATTTGGTTTGCTTAATTCAGCACTGCTGTGTAATTTGATTGTAACTCCATAGACAAAGACTATTTGGTCCTAACATAGTTCATATCTTGTATGTATATACACTATTTCTGTTCAAAATCCTGTATCATCATGTTTTGCCCTTACTTTTAAAGATGAAGATTAGTCTGTCTGAATTTTCTTTAATATTCAACCATTGAATAAATTCATAAAAATATTGATTATGGATAGACACTCTGCTAAGCGCTAAGGAAACAAATATGAGAAATATAGATTCTCCTCTGCCCTCAGTATTTTCACAAGACTCCAGCCACAGAAGCCTGATCCAGGAACCTAGCCTAGCAAGGTCCATGAATCAGAGAACAGTCCAGAATATCTTTCATAGCATGTCCTCAAAGTATATCTAAGGAAGAACAATTCTTTCTAGCTTCTTGTCACCTGGATATATAGGTGAGTCACAAAAAGATCAAGTGAATCTGTTGTTCCTGTTGATTTAGCCTTTTTATTTAGCCTATAAATATGTTAGTTGATATTTATATACAATAAAGGGACTTGATGACAAATATTTTGAAATTAAAACCACGATGATTAGCATTCCAATAGTTTAATTTAGATAACTGTTGACCTCCTGTTGGTGAACACAAAGTTTTACTAAATCTGCCAATTAAGGAATTATGAAGTAGAATTTATCATTCTGATAAGACTATTGTCTGTAGCCTGACCTCAAGCCATCATGACATTCAGGTCCTCAAAGCCCTGACTATATATTCCATTTTGGATATTGTGTTCCTGCTATCTAACAGGAAAACAACTCTCAATATGGCAGTATTTTGAATAGAAGAAATTTCTAGACATAGGAAAAATTATTAACTCTAAATATGGATATTTTAAAACTATGGCACTTTTCTATTCATGAACTCAAATATATTATTTTTTCTCAAGTATAATCTAACTTTAAAATCCTTTAAGTTTTTTTATTTGCAGTGATTTTGCTTATATGATCCAATTTAATTGACGACAGTATGTGGCAAAACATATTTTGCATTTTTGTATTGTTCCCTGTGAGACATCTATTGTAAAAATTGCTGCAGGCTGTCATTTTTGTCTGCCATCCAGGATTTGCTGGCCCAAATGCTGTGTACTAGACTTGATATTGGTCATGAGGGGGAGGGGGGAATCTGCCGTTGAGCCAGACGGTTTTGTTATTGCTCTAGAATTAAAAGCATATGAAACAGATACAGCTTATTAAGGTTTTTTTTTTATAAATAACATAAACTTAAATAACAAAACAATAAAGTTCAAATACAACTTAAAATAGAGTTTAATGCTGTAACCACAGAGAAAAAGCATGATTATTTGTGGGAAGAACATTATTAAAAGTCATATTCCCAAATATGAATTATACAAAAGATAGATTATGTTACTTGAAAAAAATGTAAAGATTTCTCAATTTTGCTTTTAGGGATTATAAGATGTTATTTTGTGGCAAGTGAGATGAAGTACAGTATTATCATTATTGCTATTTTACATACAAGATTTTTGAAAACATCCTTTTAGCAATACCCTTTCAGTTTGAGCAGCATTAGAATTTTCTTCTTGTTAATAGATACAAGCATATTCTAATATAATACTTTCATAAAACTACCTATTTGATTCCACTCCATAGAATTTTTGAGAATATTCTCTTTTCTGATTAGATTTATATGGATTATAATTTTTCACCAGAAAGCCTTTCAAATACTGCCCATCTTCAATAGTTAGTATTGGCTTGATTATCTGACAAATCATTCCAGCAGCCTTTATGTCTGACATATCTTATATAACATCATCTGCATTATTATTATTATAGCAGCCATTTTATAAGCAGATAGGAATATTTAAATAATCAATATCAGATAATCAAATCTAACATACTCTTAAGGGTAAATTAATTTAAGAAAAAAACATTACTATTACTAACATCATGATTGTACAACCAGTTTTACAATTTTTTACAACTTTTAGTTACTAAATCTGATTTTTGTGTATATTTTTCAAATCTTTCTTTAATGCAGTCTCTTAAAATAAACATACATGCGCAAGTCCAGCTTGATCAGTTTTTCAGTAGTTTTCCAGCCTTTCTTGGTTACTTAAAAAAAAAAAAAGAAAGAAGGAAAGAAAAGAGAAAAAGAAAGAAAACAGTCCACTTAAAGAAATCTCCCTGCTGGAACTGGTTTCTTATATACCATATATGATTATGTTATTGCCATAGGAAGAAAGTGGGCTGTTTTTTGTTCTTTCTTCGTTTTTTTCCCCCTTACAGGAACCCCCTTTTGATTTAAAGCAACAAACATTTCTCCTCCGCTGTGTGTCCATTTAGCTGATGCATATGTGTTGTAATGGTTTTCCAGAATTAATTCTTTGAAGTTGCAATCTTCATTGCATTCTTTCTGTTAAAACAACAAATAACATTATCCAAATGATTTTTAGAGGGATTCAAAGAATAAGCAGCAAGTAATATTTAGTAAAATTAAAACATATATGACCTTTTCTTTTTTTTTGAGTGGGCCTAATGCATTTTGTTAAATATAGGTTAGCATATTTGCAAAAAAAATAGATATCTTAAATTTTTTTAAAAGGATAAAATGATACATATTTAGTTATGCAACATATTTTCAAATATCTAACTTTTTGGCAGTTAGTTGCTACTATTATTCTTTAGTATTAGGAACTATTTCACCCTAAGTAGCAGCTCTCATATTACCATGCCCATCACTCATTCCCTAACTGCTGAGATAAGATATAATTAGCAGAGCATCTGCCTCCTTGAGTCGAAGGACATATTTCACAACTTTTCTTCATTTACTACTATACTGCTTGCAATGGTGATAGAAAATTAATTTTATTTGTTCATCCGTCCAACTAGTCATTCAATCAGTCGTTCATTCAGTTAAATCTCTATTATTATGTAATTAGCCTGTGCCAGTTATGCTGGGCTGTGGGAATACAAAGGAAAGTTGATTATATTTTTTATGATGGGATGAACTGTTATATATTTCACATTGTAATAAAGTTGGAATAACATGAATGCTTACATTTCAAAGTCCATGAATGTGAGATTGATGTTGATAAACAAATGTCTGAATGTTTTTCCCAAGAATTTTCATGTCAGCAATGTACAGATTGTGTGAACTTCAACAAAAAGAGCTTTAATACTCTCAGAAGGAAATTTTATATTACAAGTATCTAAAATGCACATGGAATCTCAGAGCTGGAAGTATCCTGAGAGGCTGGTTAATTCAGCTCATTTTGCAAATGAAGACACCCCAGCCCAGAGAGTTTAAGCAATTTGTCCAAGGTCCTGCAGGAAAACATTTTTCTCAATACTTGAATATAAAGTGTTTTAATGAAATTATTAAATTATATAATTGAAAGAAATTAGTTTCATCTTTACTTTTCAGAAAGGCAAGATGTTTTGGAGCACCCGGGTGGCTCAGTTGGTTGTGTCTGACTCTAAGTTTCAGCTCAGGTCATGATCTCAGGGTTGTGAGACCTCATTGGGCTCCATGCTGGGTATGAAGCCTCCTTGGGATTCTCTCTCTTTTCCTCTCCCTTTGCCCCTCCCCTACCTCTTCTCTCTTTTCTCTCTCTCCCCTCAAAAAAAATGCAAGATGTTTTTGACAAAAGTAAGTTCAAAAAATTAAGTCTAAACTATCAATTATCAATACCTTTGCATAGAGCTTTCCTTCCTTATTCATTGCAAGATAATATTCACTTTCCACCCCTTTGATTGCCACTATTCCAACTGCCACTGTCCTGATTTCCATGATATCTGCAAGAAATCACAGAGAGATTAGTCAGTTATTCACTTAGCTTCACAGAGTATCCAATAATGAACATTTGTTCTTATTTCTTTTTTCAGTTGGAAGCTATTAAAATTATTAATGTGATTACTTACCCAGCCTGAGACTACCTACCCATAACACATACAAACACAAAAATAGTACTTATTAAATATGGTATATGCAACCTATTGATATTTTCTATAGAAAAAGATACCTGTATTCAAATAAATAGGTACATATTTGAGTTTAGTTTTTTCTTCCCTAGAATTACATTTGTAATTTACTATAATAATAAACATCATGATAACAGCCAATGTTTATTGATCTATACCACATTCTAAGAATTAAAATTTAAAACTCAGTATCTTCACAAAACACAACCACATTATTAGTCCCACCCCAGTAAAAATAGCATCTTCTTAACTTTTCTTCTGTACTCATTCTTAAAATTAGCCAGGTTTGAAATGATGCTTGACTTTTCCAGCTCCTATCCTTATGCCTTAGCTTCAACATCCATTGGGCCTAGAAGTTGAAGAAGTGTACATAGCAAAAGGAATGAATAAATGGGAGAGAATTTTAAACATTTCTGTCAAGTATATGTTGAGTATTTGTGTTGTGTCATTTTTACTGAAAGAAGCTATATTTGACATTAAGGTGGTTCATTCCAATATTGTGCCCCACTTCCTAGAAGATTAACAAAATATAGAGGCAAAGGACAAAGGAATCAGCCTGAAAGAATTAAAAGAAATGCTTTCTTGAACTCAACAGCTTGCTGGGGAAAATCCCAGGATGTAAGGACACCAAGGGAACTATTTGGAGTGACTTGGGATATATTTGTTGTGTTTGTACTTCTGTCTGAATGGTCACCAATCATGTGCAATATAAATATAAATTTTCTTGGCTAGATATGAAAGTGAAAACCTTGAGATACTCTTTTCTATGCTACAGCTTATTAGAGAAGATAAGCATGTTTAGAGGGGACAGAAAAAAACTAATTCAGAAGGGAATCCACGAGGAAAAAAAAATCTCAAGAGTCTAGGGAATCCAAACTATCATTAAGAATATAGCAAAAGGAATAAATTGGGTGGAAGAGAAATAAAAATACATGTGGAGTGCAGCATGCATGGCATGATTAAATGGCAATAAACTGTTTTCTTTAGAAATGAATAGTTATGCTGTTATAACCAACAATGACGAGTCTGCTGTTCAGAAGCATTGGCAACAGTATCTCATGCTTTATGTAACAATAAGGAGAAAAGCTAGAGGAAATTGGTGGTTTCCTGACTGGAAAGCAGTACAACACAGGTTTGAGACAGCTTCCTAGGGGACTGAATATTCCTGACATGTATATCAAGACACGAAGAAGGCCTGGGGCAGATTTATCAAGCTAATAAATGATGGTCCATGTGGGAATGAATGGCTGCACCAGAAGAGACTGCAGATCTCTAGAGACACTGAGGTTCTGAATTGGAAAATGAAAGACATGAAAGCACAGATGTTTTCATTTCTTCTTCTACTTTAATCTCATGACTTTAGAAGTGGGGGTGGGGAAGCTATGAAAGTAAATATCTGGCTATTAACAATAGTGTTGAAAACAGAACTTGCCTTTCTGGCCCGTACTTTAGAGTAACTGAAAAAATGGGCTCCTGGACTTTTATGTGCATTTTGTAAAGAATGCACCTGAGAGGAAAATGTAATTGAGGTACATTAGTTTAGTTAAGACTGGGTTTGTTTTGAACAAAATCATTTGCTTCTGCATCTAATAAACATTGGGAGAAGTGACAACTTTGCTCCACAAAAGCATTTGCAAGTTTCTGGGCTCCATTCAGCTCACTGTTCACCGTCACTTTGTTCTCATAAGACAAAGAAAGTAGAACATACATCCCAGCTGGAGAATGGAATAAAGGAAGAAAATATGGGTACAAAGGGATTCTGCTGGTTGCCTCCCGTGGAAGATTTCTGTGACAAGATTCCTGAGAATGTACAATGGTTGCAGAATATTTATAGCTAATGGCAAATTCAATGACTTACTTTAGGCCAAATAATTTCAAAAGAAAATGTATATAAAATTTTTAAATAATCATTACATATTGTTTCTAATGATGTAATATATATTATATAATGGTGTATATATATATACAGTACAATATATATGTATACACACACACACCATTATATATATATATAATGATTAAGATTTCCTAGTCAACAATAAAGGCTTAACAAAAATCATAAAAATCATTTAACATTTAAAATAATATTATTTGCTGATACCAATTCTTAGCTTTAATGTGCCCAAGAGAGTGTATTTGGTCAGGGACATAATTAAATGTTCTGATTGGCCTAATAACTACTAAACCACTATCTTCCTTCATTTTAAACTTTAAAATAATTTTTAGGTTCATGCTAACTCACCTATATTAATATGTATCCTCTCAAGCTTTAAAATATAAAGCTTAAAAAAATTCAAGGAAAAGAAATATTCAAGGAACTGGGATGGGGGGATTTCTGTGTGATGAAGCAAAATTTTTTTCACTTGACTCCTGAAAAGGCATAAAGGAACCTAAAATGCATATTACTAAGTAAAAGAGGCCAATCTGAAAAGGCTACACACTGTATAATTCCAACTATATGGCATTCTGGAAAAGGCAGATAGTAAGAAGATTAGTGGTTGCCAGGGGTTGGAGGCAAGAGAGAAGGGTAAATAGACAAAGAAAGGGTTTTAGGCAGTCAAAAATACTCTGCATGATAATATAATGGATACATGTCCAAACTCATAGAATGTACAACATCAAGAGTAAACCCTAATGTAAACTATGGACTTTGTGTGATAATGATGTATCAGTGCAGGTTTATTAATTAATTGTACGGTGGGGGGGGTGTTGATAATAAAGGAAGCTATGCATATCTGGGGCAGAGGTATATTTAAAAAAAATCTCTGTACTATTGCCTCATTTTTGCTATGAACCTAAAGCTGCTCCAAAAATAAGTTCTTAATGAAAAAAATTTAAACAGTAAAGTTAAGACACCTTAAAATCACAAATATTACTGGCAATATGAACAAAGAATTAGCATTAATTACTTTTAAATATTTTATTTATTAGAGAGCACAAGCAGGGTAAGAATCAGAGGAAGAGGGACAAGTAGGCACCCCACTGAGCATGGAGCCCAACGTGGGGGCTCCAACCCAGGATCCTGAGATCATGACCCAAATGGAGGTCAGAAAACCAACTGAGCCACCCACACCCCCCAGCATTAATTTTTAAGATACATGAGGGGAGCACTTAAATTCTGAAAGTAAATTCTGGAGAATTTTTTTTAAAAGCAATAGCAGTTTATACCAAGTTTCCTCACTTATTAGAAGTGTGATACAGGTTTAAATAATAAATAGGCAAAAATATTTAGATAGATTTATGCATGTTAAGCCACAGGGAAAAAAACAGGCAAGTCATTTTGGGTATATTCTCTAGTTTGTAAGGGTGACATCCTAAGTAATTAATTGATTCTATTGTTGACAACGTTGTTGACAAAAATATTAACAAGGCTAAATGGCCAATTTACTTGACCTATTGTTTCATTTCTCATGTTCTATTGTATGAGCTGACCTTTTTTTTTTCCTTAACTCTATCATTCTGCTACCACAATCATTATGTTAACAATTGTACCCATGTAATATGTCTTACATCACAGGGAGCAAATTTGCTGTCACTTACACACATAAACTTCTCTTAGACATAAATTCAGATCCACAAAAAAGACAAACTCTTATATTTGTCTTATATAAGGCAATAGATAACACTGTAGACAAAAAAAAATCATGTACAGTAAGTTTGGTAGCTACCTTAATATCTGCATACTATATAAGTTCTATTTTCTGAGCAACTCCCTCGCTTTTGGTTTAGAGGGCAGGATTTCATAAGCTTACATAGTTCATTCTTCCGCAGATCTTTGTGGATCTGTAAAAACATTACTTCTTATTCTGTATTTGAACAAAAGAGTGGTAACTTTTGTTTCTTCATCCTTGTGTTTTCTGGAGTAAAAGCCACAGCACATGGGACAAACAGATTAGAAAGTCAGGGTTGATAGGATAGCAATTCTGCCATTACTTAATGTATTCCCAAGCAATCTACTTTTAGATCTGTTAATCTCCTTGTGAAAGATACTTTAAGGTACATCAATTAAAAATATTATTCATTCAGGAACCTTGCCATTTCCAAGTCTATCTTCATCCCAATTAAAGGTAGAACCTTTAAGGATGGAGCATCTTTTCATATGCTTATTGGCCATCTGTGTATCTACTTTGGTAAGATATCTGTTCATATATTTTGCCCACCTTTTAATTAGGTTGCTAAAAGTCAAAAGATTTTATTTTTATATCCTTAACCCCAAAATGTGGAGGGATAAGTTTAACAATGTTCTTTACTTGGGGCGCCTGAGCAGCTCAGTCAGTTGAGCAGCAGACTCCTGATTTCGGCTCAGGTCATGATTTTAGGGTCCTGGGATCAAACTTTCTCTTGAGGCTTGAGGCTTCTCTTTCTCTCCCTCTGCCCCTCCCCCTGCTCATGCACTCTTGCTCTCTCTCTCTCTCTCTCTCTCTAAAATAAATAAATCTTGAAACAAAATTTTAAAAAAAAACTCTAAAGTTCTTTGCTTACTTAGTGTCAGAGTGAAACAAAAATCTGGTGGTCAATGGATTGGCAGGGGCCAGAAGAAAGGGGTTTGGAGATGGGACAAATAAGAACATGCTGTCATAACTGGACCTGAAAGTGAGGGTGTCCACAAATAATTAACAATACTCCTACCATTCAACGGTTATAATTTATTGATAGTTGGTCCATAAAAGAAAAACCAGCAAACATTATAGGTTCAATTCCCTAATTACAACTGAGCATGGGACATACCCTAAACCTATGCATCAGTATTCTCCTTTTCATGTAACAGAAAATATAATATTGAATAAAGGCAAGAATAGCAGGAGTAAAAGGGA